TTCAGTTCGATTTACATTTGCTCTGAATTATCCAGCAAGGAAAAAGCATATTCTTCCCATTTTTTCTAAGTCGGGAATGTAAATGAGAATGTAAATATATACCAGACATGTCAATTCGGCTGCAAACTCCAGAATATGCGCCAACGGAAGATATCCAATATATACATCGGTAGAAGAGATAATAGGTACACCGGCACCCAATCCAGCCACCGATGACACAATATTATAATGTGTCAAAATCACTCCCTTCGCAGCTCCTGTTGTACCACTCGTATACATTATCACTGCTGTATCATCCCTTCCTGCTGATGAAACTTCTGCAAAAATATTTCATTGGATTAACTTTTTGACAAATGTATAAATTCGTATGAATCACAAGTAAATCATATAAATCATTGTAAAAGTCCTGATGCTGTAAAATGCCAACAATAAAACGAAGTGATGAAGTGTGGAGAACATTGGGAAACATAAAAGCACCAACCCGGAACAGTGTTTTTGTGTGCTTCTAACTCATCCAATGACAGGACATTTCGGAACTGCTGCTTAATAACATCCATGACGGCAATCTTCTTCGAAAGATGCACGGGACGGAAATAGACTAAGGAACGCAATGTCGGACATTTTTTCCCGATTACTGCAATTTTCGGCAGAAGTTCTGCTGATGTTACTAACAGTGTTGATTCCGTCTCATTGATTGCTTGGGCTATTGCCTACAAAAAGTACGACTGTCGAAAAGACAAGATTAGAATCGATAAAACAAATGTAAAATAAGAGAGGATTCAGAATCAGTAGTCCAAGAGAGAGTTTCAACTAATCTATCCAACAGTTTCAGCATCGTGTATGATCCTCATTTTACTTCATTCAAATAGCAATGTATGGATTAGTTATACCTCTTCACCGAGAGTTGCATATACCGTAGCAACTGGTACATTGATTCTGAAGAGAGCGAATACAGTGATAAACCAGTCAGCTCGAGTTTCCGAAAAAATTACTGCCTGAAAGGAAATTTTCAATTTAAAAGCAAGTGAATGTATGAAATTCATTGATAGGAAAACAA